CTCTTACCCTCCTTCCCAAGATCTGGTTGATAGCAGCGCTCTCTTTCAGGGTGCACTCGGCAATGACTTTTGCCCGCATTTCTTTCATATACAACATGAAAGCATTCAGGGGCTTCTTGATAGTGGGCTTCTTGGCTTCCTTCTCTCTCTTTGGTTCTGGTTGAGGTTTCCTTGGTGGGACCAAAGGAGGAGCTGTCAGCATTAGAGCTACCTTCCAGCTTGGCTGCCAGTCAGCACCAAGCTCAGCAGAAGACTCAACACCAAACCAACCCAACAGCATGAGATCTGCACCTTGGCTGTACGCCATTGCCTGATGCAGGCAGAGCTCGGTGTTCATCCATCCCCCCCTCCCTCCCCCCTCTGCAAGCATTAATAGTGATAAATTAAATGGGTATTAAGGCACTAACGCTGTTGAGCCCTGCCGGCACTCCCAACTTACATATTTCGGTCATAGTGCTCCATCTCTTGCTTGCCGGAGTGGGGCACGATGGCGGGGTGCGGGATGCCAGTGGTGTGCATGCCAGAGCCCAGCATCAGTGGGTGAGTGAACCTGCAACAGAGTACGGATGAGCCGTGCCGGGAGGGCTGTGCCAGGGATGCTCGGGATGCTCGGACAGCTGGAGCGGCGTGTCTCACAAGATGACACTCTGACGTGGCAGAAGCAGACGGTAAGCGGAGGGAGGACACGGAAAGCAAACTCATGAGTGCTGCCAGGCTGGCATGGGGCAGGCAGTGCCCACCCAGACCCCTGGGTCACCCCTGCCATGCTGGCAACGGGCATGGCCTAGCTGTGGGCACACAGGTGGAAAGGGTCTGGGTGCTGCTGCGAGGAAACCAGCCTGCCGCGGGAGCCAGCCTGACCAAGATCAAGGGCACTTTCAACCAGCGGTTTCAGCTACTCAGGTCTCTGTTGTTGCAATATCTTATTAGCACTGCAGAAAGGAACAACAAACTCAACCCAGGGTTTGGATGGGAGAGATCAGGACCATCCCACACCTTTCTTTTAATGGAAATAGCCTAAGTCTGAACATGAACCAAACTGCAACTCTAGGAGGTGCACCTTGCCTAAGCAATGTTCTCCACCAACACAAGACCGAGATCACGAGAGGTTTCGCTACCTTTCAGGCCTCATTAGCTCTCTCTCGAGTTTTAGAGGGTAAAGCCAGCGCAGTCAGCTTTGCCAAGCTTGCCACTTTATGACTGCAGCTTGAGATGGCAGACTTGCCCATGGGAGATTAACTGTTCATTAGATATGCTGGCACGAAAAGAAAAGCTGTTTAATTTAATCCACCAGCAGAGTCTGATCCTTATCTGACCAGGTGTACTTTCTCAGCTGCAGCAGTGCTGCAAAATCCACCCCAAAATCCTGCGAGCAGGAGCTCCTGCACCGGGCTCAGGGAGGCTGCTGGCCCTCCGCGGGGATCCGTTAGCTCCTCTCCCGCCTTCGCCTTCGAGGCCGGGCAAAGTGATGCCTCAGCGAGCAAGGAGGGCTGGCAGCACGCCCTCGCCTCTGCTCCAGGGCTAAGGGCTTGCATGGATCAAGGGTTGGATGGATCGAGGTTTTTGCATGGCTAAAGGTTTGCATGGATAAGGGTTTGCATGGTTTTCCTGCGGGAAACCTCCACTAATGGCTCTTCAGGACAACACGAAGCAGAAGCGAAAGCCGATGCATGAGCACACGCAGCGTGCACAGGCATCCCCGCAGCACTGCCGTCCTCGCTGCGGCCACGGGGGCTTTGCCCACCAGCACACCCGGAGCGGCTGGGCTCTGTGATTTCCATCCACAGGGGATATATTTTGCTCACTGGGACATCACTGGGGTCTAGGTATATTTACGGAGGACAAAATTTGATCTTGGGTGACCATAAACTTGCAATATGAATGCTCCAGGGCTGTGTTACATGGCTCAACCCGCTCAATATTTAAGGCAGGTCATGCCGCTGGGCCAGGTCCTCACGGGGGGAAGCAGGGCAGCGACGTGACCGGCTCCTGCCGACCCCTTCCCGTGTGCAGGGTCCGGCCCACAGCTGTGCCAGCCCCGCACTGCCCGATGATGGGATGGGGAGGCAGAAGCTGCGCTTACGTCTCAGAGAACGGACTTGTGCAATGGGAGGACAGCAAATCGCTGCTCCGCTGCCTGTCCTGCTTTTAAGGCTGAGACCAAGTAAAACAGCTCGGTCTCTGCAGAGCAAAATGCAGCAGCAGGAATATGTTCAGATTAGGGTTAGCGACAAGGAACAAAATCCTGAGCAATAGATTTCACCCTGTTTTCCCAACGCTGAGCTGAAGGCAGGGGTTTCCGGCTTTGTTTTGACTTCTGCTGATTAAAACCCAATCGTTGTGCATCCTCCAAGGATGCTCAATATTTCCCTGAGCACCCTTTGGACCAGACGCTGCCTAAAAGTGCCTTCTCTTCCCACGGCTGCCCTGGGGAAGGTGCGTGGCCGTCCCTGGGTGGCCGTGGTCTGCTGCAAGCTCCTACCGCACAAACTGCAAGCTGCGAGACCAGCCGAGCTGCTGCCCTGTCTCACACAGCTCATACTCACCTGGAGAAAGAAGCCCCAGTAGAAAGCGCTGACGAATACGGCTGTCTAAATCCACATGACGGGAGCGGATAGACAGACTGGCTCTGCCTGGGATCAGGAAGAAAGAGTCTATAAAGTATCCACAGCTACGTGGTGTTTCCTAAAGATACCCTTTGCTAAGAGGACTCGGAGCACCGATGCCCCAGGAGCTCTGCCTGGTGGGATGCTCGAGGTGTCCCCTGGGCTCAAGGGACAGTGCAGGACTTGGACTTTATTGTGGGAGAATCTGGGCCTCCCTGCAAAGGTTGGCTCCAACTCTGACCCCTCTCCGTCCCTGGTGTTGAGTAACACTACAGCTTTGAGTTTATCCCATTAAAATGCAAAATGCAGAGGTGTGCTAAAAAATTAGATGTTGCTATTGCAAAGAAGAAGTTGCTTAAAAGAGCACAGTTTGACCAAAAAACTAAAGCCTGGTCAGAATCTCTCTCTGTGTGGTGCATAAGAAGCTGCATGGTCACGGACTGCACTGGGAAGATGCCCAAGCACGGGAACCTCCTGGTGTCCGGAGGGAAAGCACCTACTCTGCCCATGTAGGTGCTTCAGAAATGCTCTGATTTCCCCAGCACATCGCTCTAAGGCTGCCCATCATTTTTAAACAAGCCAAAAGCTCTGTCCTACATTTCTTTTGAAAGTTGTTTCATGCAGGGGACCAGGCGTGTACCAGACCTGGCGCTGGAGATTATTTCTGAGGTAGTAAAATAACTATGCAGGAAGTTTCTTATTGTTCCCAGCAAGGGAAAACCCCCCTGTTTTCATATGGAGAGAGCTCAAAAATACCTTGGCTTGTTCTGCAAACCCGCCAAAAGATGCTCCCAGCCTAAAACTGCGCATGGAAACCAAGATGCCCGAGGAGGGCACGATGGGGCGCTTAAACCCGCGTCGATGCTTGTGCTCCTCTGGCCAGGCTGCACAGAGCTGTGCTTAAGACCAGCACCAGCTATTTTCAGTTCTAATAAGGAAAAAAACCCAACAACAACAACAAAAATCCCATTATCGTTAAATGCGCTGCCCTGCAAAGGACCGAGCTCCTGGATGCCAGGGGTTTTTCAGGGCTAAAGACAGTTTCTGCCCTGAAGAGGAATAACGACAGAGCTGCGGCAGTCAGGCCCTTGAGCCGCGCTGGGGAGGAAGGAGGTTTCTGTTTGTGCCGCTCAGGGAGCTGCTGTGTCTCGGCTTGACCGAAATCTGCAGGATCTGTCTGTAGGAAAGGCAGCCGAGGCGGTGGGGCTCTGTTTACACCCTGCCAGGCAGAAGCCCTCTCCCACCCCTTAGATGTCGGCGGGTATAAACACACCAACAGCCAAGTGCTACTGCGCATCGGGAAACCGAAACAACCTTTGAAGTTGAAGGCGGCTGCCCCAGGGCCGAGAAAACCCTCGGAGCTCATTCCAGAAGCGACATGCGTTACTGCAGAGGGTGAGATATTGGGATGGAAAAGGAGCCGGGCACTCGCAGCTTCATCCAAAGTGATTCTGACGTGCAAACTAATGCAATCGCAAAATCAATCCCTGATGGTTGGGAATGCACGATTACAGTCTGTATCACCCAGGGATGGGAGGGCGGCTTGGAAAAAAGATGTGGGACGGCCATTAAGGGGCTGTCGTGGTACTGCCGGCACTCGGCCCGGGGAGCGGGTGAGCAACGTGGTTCGCGGGCTCCCAGCTGATGTTTGCTGCCAGGCTCCCGTGAGCAAAACTCACTCGACTGGACTCTTGGAGGCTTTTACCTGACTGTCATCCCAGGTAATTACAGAGGGTGAGTGCAGCTCCTCCTCCCAAAGTGCTTGGTGAGAACAAAGCCCATTTCTGCCCAGCTCCTGCCTGCTGCTTGCAGAGGAAAAGCTGCTTCCCGTGCGTGGCTGTCCTGACTCGGCAGCCAGCTCGGTGGCACAGGCACAAGCATCCCTCGCACGACCATCCCTGGCACAACCATCCCCGGCACACGGCCCCTGCTGCCCGCTGCCTCCTGCAATGGGGTCAATGCTGCCACAAACCTGCTTCTGCTCTGCCCGATGTGCTGAGCCTTAGCTGAGGACTGGGCACTTCAGCAGTGATTTTGGGGCTCTTTCCATCTATTTTGGGCAGGTAAAAGGATGAGCAAAGGCTCTATTACAGACACACGTGCTTCAAGGTGCTGTTCTCCACTCCGTCAGGCCATTTGTTGCTTTACCGTATCTGCTCTATTAGTCACTAATGAACACGTCTGACAAAGTTGCCTGAGGATCCCAAACCCCGCAGACGCTGGAGCAGCTCTCAGCAATGCAAACTCCCTCTGCCACCAACCGACCGACAAAACCTCTGTGCAAACCAGACGTCTTTTGCTCTGTGTGCCCAGGGCTGCCCTTAACAGCATCCCACCCCAAGAGTGGACCTTGCATTTGGCCAACAGGCCCCTTTCTCACCCCCAACCATTTCTTTCATGTCATAGTGCAGTCACCCCAGTACTTGTTTTTCCTGAGGATGAATCACATCGTATGAGGAGTTAAATCATCGCCCAAGAGTAGCAGATTTAGCACAGAAGGCAAAATGTAATTTCTTTGAAGCCAAACTCTGTATCAAAGGCCTCAGCCTCTGTTTCCTTGTGGTTAAATATCTGGAACATGAAATTTGTAAACAAAACAAAACAAAAAGCTAACATTTCACTTTGTGTTTTAATATGCTTTGCCTCTCCCATTTTGCAGTATGTTCTTGTACCTGGAGGTCTCTGCCGGGTTTTGCTGGGGTTTTACCAGCCAGCACCAGGGGGGGATTTGGCTGCCTGCCCTGGCGATCGCCCTCCCCACACTCACCCCCTGTCCTGGCTGTCCCGACTCGTCACCTGCAGTCACCAGCAGTCACCAGCCTCCCCACCAGCCTCTGTAAGGTCCCTGCGTCACCAACGGGGATTAAAAATTAATCTGAAGAGTGATGATGCCCACACGGCACTGCCCGCCAGACCTGCTCCCTCCGTGGGCTTATGATCACCATGACAAAAGCTGATGGCAATGACCATGGAGGACATACCAGTGTATTTTTAACTCGTGTCCCTGGGGCAGGTTTCCCAAGGGGCTCTGCTTTGTGGGATGTTCCTCAGGGCTGACCCATGCAGGGGGGACATTTTGGGAATGCTCTAGCTCATGGACCCTCCTTCCCTGTCCCCCCCCCCGGGGCAGTGGATGCCACCGAGCTGGCTGTGCTGTGGCCAGGCTGCAGGTACCAGGGTCGTTTGCCGGGACAGGTCTCTACCACGGTGTATTTGTTCCCTGAGTGTCAGACCCCAAGCAGCATTGTGGTCTAGTGGATGGAGCATCCCACTGGATTGCACCACACCGGTGGCACGCTCAGGGAAAGCACTGTTTGTGTCGAAGATCTCAGCAAGAGGGAAAATTACCTCCTACTCAGAAAGGGAGGCTTTTGTTGTGATTAGGAGAGGTGGGTGGGAAGCTTTCCCTGTTTTTCCTAATCCGCACAAGGCAGCTAGATGTAAGGCAGGAGACAGTTTTGAATCGAGCAGGTGGTAACCCCGCTCCAGGGATGCCCCAGCTGGGACAAAGCCTTCAGCCTCTCCACAGATCTGCTCCCCATCTCTAAAACAGGGCTAAATCCCCCCTGTCACACAGCACACAGGAGGGATGAAGCTGGGGCAAAAGCACCGTAGAGGTTACAGAAAACGGCTGCACGTGGTTTGTTCAATAAACCATCCCCTGTACGGAGCGGCCGGCGAGCTGGGGACTGCATGGGGCCGAGCCCTCCACACTCACCATCCCATCGACGGCGTGATCTGTCCGACTCCACCAGGAGGGAGGGGGTAGAAACCAGGGATGTCTGAGGTCTGGGAAGGACGGTGCACACCTGGGAGAAGGGAGAAGGAGATGAGTTGGACCCAGCACTGTGCTCCCCGGCTGAGCTGGAGCCCTCCCGACCCCCTGGCTGCTCCATCTACAGGCACTTGTGGGCAGCAAGGAATATATGTGAAATAGCTGTCTGCAAGTCTCAGGATATTATAATTGCCCTTTTTATTGCTGTCATTCTCTCTGTGGGGATGTGATGGGTTGTCCACCTTGCTGCAGAATCACAAACACTTGTGTAATGGTGAGGGGAAAGCAGCTTGCTCCTGCACAAGCATCATCCCTGCTCCGTGCCACCCTGAGGCCAAGCAGCAACTTGCTTTGATAAGGATTTGATGAACTCCGGACATCCCTCTGCCCTTCTCAGAGAGCCTGTCCAGGTCTACAACTGATGGTCAAAGCCATTCCTACACCCCCTGCCCATCAGTCATCCCTGGGACTCCACATGAGCGGCCAGCGGGGATGCTCCAGCAGGCATCACTTCTATCACGATTTGAAACAATTTGGGTCCCCGTTCAAAGCAATCATTTTGTGGGCTCTGTGGGTGCCAAGGAACAGCGGAGGTGGGTATGGTGCCAGCTGGGAATTCACCCTTCACATGGGGAATCCCTGCGTAATCTTCAAAGCCGCTGGCACGGGCAGCATGACCAGAGCAGACAGCTGCAGCGTCTACCCATTTATATGTGGACTTGAAAACCTGCGGAGCCCAGGTTGCTGGCAAAAGCAGCCTCCTGTCGACCCCCGGACCGGGAAACTGGAGGGGAGCTGGGGCTGAGCTCTGCCGCAGCATCGTGTAATGCTGATTGCTGATGAGCCTCAGACAAAAAAACTGTGTACAGAGATTGTCCAGCAGCACCCCTGGGCAGTAAATACACTGAATAAATTGGGGATTAGTTGCAAGCACTTTGCAAACTCAGAAGTCTCGATTATTCTCCTAGGTGTATTAATGATAAGTTATTAATTAGGAATGACACCAGCAGATTCCAAGCATCTTATTAGGAGTTACCCAAAATAAATACATCACTGAACTGAAAGAAGTATACAACTTAGTATGAGATTTACCTACAGCTGTGCTCAAGTGGGACGCAGCAGCCCACTGAAGGTCAAACAAAACCGGCATCCGCGTGAGGCAGCTGCCAGGATTTCCTGAGATTTGCACCTCCAACAATACAAGCTGCGTAAGCCAGAGCACAAGTTTTTCTCGCTGGTCCAGTGGTTGGGGCACCAGCCACTGACTCAGAAGATCCTGCTTCTATTTCCTTGTCTGTGTGTCCTTGGGCTACTGTGAGATACTTTAAAGGGATGCTGTGAGAATGAGTACGATGGTGACTCTCAAGCGCTTACACTAGGTGATAATGGGAGATATTTCGGCAATGAAAATAGAGATGGGACACATCTAGAATGAATGGAGAAGGAAACCCTCACCCCAGCATGGCAGAGATGGGGCATGCAAAGTTGATCACAGCTGCACCACAGAGGCAGGTCCCAGCTGAGGATGATGGTCTGAACCTCTCCACAAATAGGACCTGGGGGGTCTCTGGGCTGGACAGACCCCCCTGCCTCTGATGTAAATGTACAGGCTAAATGAGAAAGGGGAGACTGGAAAGTGCCTGCACTGAGGGTGCGGGCGGCTGTGCAGCCAGAGGTCAGCTTCCCAAAATTACTGACCCACCGCAGAGATGAATGCTTAGGGACTACTCCAGGGCCAGTTGTAGCCTCCATGGAGGGACAGGACCAGCTCATCCCTTGGGTGAGCTGCTCCTGTATTGCTTAAGGCTTTCCAGGCTAATGGTGAGTCCCTGGAGGCAGCTCACAGTGAGGGGCTCTTGGAGGGAGCAGAGCTCTGCACGGCATCTGCAAAGGCAGTGGGAAGGAAGGTGTCTTGGGTTGCCTTCCCGGGAGACTTAGAAATCTGCACGCTTCCTCTCAAGATCTGGAAGTCTGCCATTAGCTGAGCTTTTAATAGGTTTATTTTGTTAACTCCTCATAATTTTCTGCTGAGTTTATTATGCTCTGGTGTTTGAGAAGCAATGTGCTGGTTGGAAGAAAACCAGGATGTGCCTGGGGTATCCCTTACATTGGACCTAAGTCCTCCCCATCAGCATCCCTGATGACTCCAGCATGTGGCCTGTGGGTTCAGACCAGGGATAATTTAGCAGAGCCTCCAGCCAAAAGCATCCTCGATACCCCATCGTCTCATCAGTGATGTCAATGCAGTGAAGCAATGTCTCTCCGACAGTCTGGATCGCTCTTGGGTGGAGGCCTTTGCCCAAATCACAACAGTTGGTTTTGTGCCTCTGTTTTCGCACTGATTTCTGGGCTCTGATGGACCCTGAACCCCTTCTTGAATGTAGTTTGTCACAAAACTGTAAATTTGCTTGCTTTCACATGAAATCAAGATGAGGTTTTGTGCAAAAGCCTGGGTAATCTGAACAGATGTTGAAAGATTCTGTTGCACTAATGTAAGGTTGAGAAGAGTTTGATTTTACACTCAGCTTGCCAGTAACCCACGAAGAATGACGGGCTCGGGTGAATTCCTGTGTACATACCTATATTTTACAGTTCAGGGTTTAACCTCTCCCTAGTGTACTTTCCTCCGCAGCCTCACAAGCTAATTGACGTGTCCTGGACTCACACAGAAACCCAAAGAGCCAAACCGTATAACAACCACATAACGTGTGGCTACGGACACACACATGTAACAATCCAGTCAGCTATCAGACACCGATCCTATTTAGTCAAAATATTTCCTGTTTCAAGCATTTATTTTCTCAAAATGACAACCTGACAACAGTTTGGGTATGAGTCAAAGGAAAGATTACTTTCCATTTTCTAGTTGACTCTCATGCATCATCTCGCAGGCTCTGGTCTGCTCTCAAGCTACATGACAGCTTGCACAGAGAACTGAGCACACTTGATCAGCACAGTTGGCACTTTCAATATCAAACCCCTCTTGTCTGGGATTACAAAGCATTGCCGATAAGGTAAATAAACGCCTACCATTAAGCAATGCCCCAGTTGACCAAAGCTCTTGATTTTTCCCATTGATTTGCGACCAGGAAGGTGACAGCCTTGACATCAGTGGTCTTCAGCACTGTCCCCCTCCCACCACACAGATCCCCAGCGATGCCATTACCTTGTTTCTGGTTGATGTCGGCGGGCAAGTGGGGCGAGTGGGAGCCATGGCTGAAATGGTCGTTGCTGTAAGGGATGAGCGGGGTGAGCGGGTGGACTCCATGGGACGGCTGCACGACGGGAACTTTGTTGGACTGCAAGACACAAGGAGGGAGAGGGCTCAGAAGTCATCGGGCTCCATGAGGAAGGATGGTTGGTGCCCTTTGCAGTCCCGTTGTTGCAAGCAAGGTTGGGAATTACTAAAAGGCCCCAGTGATGCTCAAGGGCAAGGCAGAAAATGCCTTTGCCTACTTAAATAAACACTACAACATCCTGCAAGAATAATCCATAAACCAAGCAGGGACAACAGCTGAAGACAATTGCATGGGTAGGTGGAAAACAGCCAAAAATCAGCATGAAGTTTTCAAAATTTTGAAGGACTTTTATTTCATTCATTTCCAGCACCTTTTATTCCAGGACGAATGCTACAAGCATGTTACCCAACACATTGCTCTTGTCTTCTGCCTTGTGCTACCACAGGGTCTAACTCTGGACTTTCATATCCTGCACGTTCACTTTGAAAGCCACGCTCAGGCTTTCCTAACCAGGGCTCTCAAGCAGGGAAAGCCATGCTGAGGGCAAAGCCCTTGAAAACACAATGTGGTCACCAGCAAGCCCTCGGGCTGAAATCCTCCTTGGTCTGAGCTCCAGCCCTGGGAGAAGGACAGGAGGGGGCTGAGGAAGCGCTGGGGATGCAACAAACCCAGGAAAATTTAGCAAAGAAAAATCTGTCTCCTCTTGCAGCTGCTCCTGGTTATGCACAGCGAGGCCATCGGAGCCCAATGTCTTTGTACAAAGTGCTTTTTTATGAACACAACGGGGAGTACTTCTGCATGTTGGAGCAGAGAGAGGGGAACCTGTTCAAAAGAGCTGCACAACTGTAAGGAAAACACACACACACACACTGCTGTCTACCGCCAGCCTCCTCGCCTCGAGCATCTCAAGCTGCTCCCAACATGCCCGGTTTCGCCCATGGTTGCCTTTAAACCCAAACTGACTTCGCCTTGCTGGTGGAATGTTAGGATTTGTCCCAGAAAAATATAGAAAGAGAAACAGGACTGACAGCTCCCCAAAACAGGGAGAAAATGAGAACAGACCAGGTAAGACAGCTCTCCAGGGGCTAGGAGCCGGGTATTGCTACCCAGACCTCTTGTGTCCCCCCAGGACATCTACAGATGATTTGCTGCGTGACTTTTGACAAGTCATTTATGATCTCTGGACCTGATTCACTGGTGCCTTTCACTTCGGTAATGATTTTGCTCAGGCAGAGCAAGCACAAAACACCCATCGGCTTTAGTGGAGGTGGTGTGGCTGGGGGCGATGGGTCTGGGGGCACCTTACC